AATTCACATTTCTGCACTGGTTGATGAACCATTTCAGTGCTGTGGTGGCCCACATACGTAGTTTCTCCTCGTGTGGTCAAACAGCACTCAACTCCACCATTACCAGCAGGCAATGGTAGTTCATTTTTGGGCAGCTAGAGGGCAGCTCTAACCAGAACATCCAGCAGGTGAAGAGCTGCTTTATGACTGCAGAGCAAATAAGGACTACAGAAGCTTCCTGAAGTCCAAGATGGGCGAGTTGTGGTCCCTTCATGGGATTTTTATAATATCACAAGCACACTACTCACAACATTACAGGAATATTTGGACTAACACAGAATAACACCAATTCACAACCCCCAAGAGGGACTGGTTTAGCACTTGGTGGTCACTCTATTTTTTTCTAGTTTTGGTGTTTGTTTGTGTCCTTGCCACTGCTAGGAGCATGGAATGGTACATGTAGGCCACTCAGGCTGCAGGAACCTTTTACCAGCAAACTGATATTATGCACAACACTACCACGAACACACTTTTGCTTTTTCTTTGAGCTTTGACACTCTAACAAAACTAATGCATTCTTCTTTCTCCTTCAGATGAAACTCAGGCCATTCCATCTTCATTTGGGAATTGCATCCTGTCCTCGCTGTCCCTTCCTCAGCTGGAGAAGGTTGTGATCGATCCAGACCAAATACAGTTACAGCACGCACCAGAGCAGCTGGAAAGCTGCATGACCGTCCAGGTGGAGGGTGAAACTGTGACGCTGCTGGACTACATCCAGATCGAACAGGCGCCCAGTTTGGTCGATGACCAAGAAGAAAATGTAATAAATGAGGAGGAAACGGAAGAAGACGCAACGCAAGAGGAAGCAGGCGATGCCTTAAAGCCGGCCGCTTTTCAACCACTTAAACAAAGCAAAAGACTTGAGTTGAAGAGAAGAGCCTTAAAAGAGGATCAAGACTCAGCGACGGCTAAGAGACAAAGGAAAAAATACCCTAACAATAAAACATGTCCTGTGTGCAATAAGACTTTCCTGCGGGCGGCGGCCATGAGACGGCACCAGGAGATTCACGATGCAAACCGGGACCTTAAGTACAAGTGCACCAGCTGCGACAAACGATTCAGGGACCATTACGACATGAACAGACACACCATGCGCGTCCACGAAAGGGGGGAGATGTACAACAGCGGTAAAGAGGAAGACTCAGGGGATCCAAGCACCTCAGAGATGTCAGAAGACAGAAACTGCTCTTTTTGTGGGAAATATTTTGCTCGCCGAGTGGACATGGAGCGGCACATGAAGTCTCACTCAGAGGATCGCCCATACAAGTGCTCTTTCTGTGAGAAGAAATTCAAGAATCCTTATGTTTTAAAGAGACACCAGAAGGAGATCTGTAAAAGCAGAGAGCAGAAGAAGGTAAGGAGGAAAGAGGCTCAGCGCTCAAATACGCAGCCAGCTTCGGAGATGTCGATGGAGGGTAAAGTCTGTCCCATCTGCAGCAGGATCCTCCCCTGCACTGCAGACATTGCAAAGCATTTACGATCTCACTCTGAAGAGCGTCCCTTTATTTGCGTCACATGTGAGAAAGGCTTCAAGTACAAAGACACGTTAAAGAAGCATCAGATTATTCACGGTCATGAGGGCATCAGAGAGGAGCAGACCAAGACGGTGGAGCAGATTTTGGCTGAAGCCGAAACTTTTACGCAGAACTGCGTGGAGACTGGAGACGCTGATAAGCAGGAAAGTAATCTGGACACTCCCACAGACACATGTGAAGAGCCCCCCGCTGTGCCTGTGCAAAAAGTGGCCAAAAAAGGCCTGAAAGTATGCCCGGTGTGCTCTCGAGCGTTTGACAGCGTCAAAACCCTGAACAGACACATACAGTGTCACACGGACGATCGGCCGTATCACTGCGTCCACTGCAAGAAGCGCTTCAAACACATGCACGGCCTCAAGAGACACCAGATTTACGCCATCTGTCACAAGAAAACCAGTCGATTCTTGTGGAAGAAGGAGCATAGGGCGGGGCCGAGCCAAAGCGACGCGAGCAGCGCTGACCTCCAGCAAGGGGCCCCTCTGAAGATCCCAGTGTGGTGTTCCAACTGTGGCAAGCACTTCGAATACCTGTCCGCTTTGAAGGACCACCAGGAGAACGTTTGCAAGCTGGAAATGAGGGATATTATGAAATGTGACGACTGCGGGAAAGAGTTCAAGAGCATGACCATGCTCAAAGTGCACCAGAGGATCCACGACCCCCTGTACTGCAAAGAGTGTGGGAAGATCCTGGCAAACGAGGCTGCCTTTGAGAGGCACAAGCTAATGCACAGACCTATGCAGTGCACAATGTGCGACAAGACTTTCACTTTACTGAGACGCTTGAGGGAACACTACGAGAAACAGCACAACTTCTCCGGGCCGTATCCCTGCCCGCAGTGTGACAAAAGCTTCATCCAGCTGTCCTACCTCGCCATTCATCAGAGAATCCATAAAGGAGAGTTCCCTTATGTTTGTAACTTGTGCCCGGAGAAGTTCAGGTCCTCCAACTGTCTGACGGTGCATCAGCGGAAACACACTGGGGAGAAACCCTTCCTCTGCTGGCAGTGCGGGAAGTGCTACCGCTCGGCCTCGGAGCTCACGGTCCACATGGGAACGCACTCGGAGGAGAGGCCGTGGGCCTGCACACAGTGCAACATGGCGTATCGTACCAAGCTGCAGCTCACAAACCACGTGGAGCAAGTCCACATCGGGGTCCGGTATCCCTGCAACAGCTGCGGCAAGCAGTTCATGAAGGAGACGTCACTGAAGAGGCACGAGCTCATCCACACAGGAGAGAGGCCGCACCAGTGCACCGTGTGCGGGAAGACCTTCCTGACCGCCAACGAGCTCAGGCTCCACAACAGGTACCACACCGGGGAGCGGCCATACAAGTGCGAAGTGTGCGGCAAAGCCTTCATCCAGTCGGGCTATTTGAAGTCGCACATGCGGATCCACACGGGAGAGAAGCCATTTAAATGTGACATATGTGACAAAGGTTTCAGGTTGTCTTACCACATGAAGAAACACAGGCGGACTCACGCCGGGAAGCCAAAGAGCTACGTATGCGAGGAGTGTGGGTTAGCGTTCCTCCAAAAAAAATCCCTTTGTGAACACTCGCTCACTCACGAATTTAAAGTGGAGTCATCTTTCACAGAGGAAGTGAGAATAGAGTTTCAGTAGAAATCCAAATCTCTCTTAATGAGATGGTTCACCAAAAACACTCTGACCAGTTTAAACGTTGGTGCTTTTGTTGCTTTCCATTCATTCTGATGTTCTGAAGAACATGTCATTGATCTCTAAGACGTGTATCTAAAACCAGTGAACATTTTCAGCTTGCAAATCTTTCTGCAATAAAAAAAACTTGAATTTTACCATCTCTTCTTTGTTTTTGAATGAGAAAATTGCTTATGTTGTCTAGTAATTTGGGGTTTAGCCTAGTAGTGTGAAACGTGGCCCTGCACCTAAGCCAACCAAAGGATCTGAAACTCCATAAAGCACCCCTCCAATAGCCAAACCCACCTGTTCTCTGATTGGATAGTTAAATTTGTGATTGACATGACATTGGCCAATCAGATGAAAGAAAGAAAAACTGGGTCAAAATTCGTACTTGTAACTTGAAACTTGAGTGCAGAGTTTCACAGGTATTTTTTTTGGCTAAGTCCACACACAAATCTTTTTACGCACACACAAATTCTTTTTACACATACAAAACTGATTTACAACTACAAAACTGATTTACGACCACAATTTGAGCCCATAGCAAAACTACAAAAGAAAAGTTCTTTTGTCCAAATAAAATATGAGCAGCTGAAAGATGGGGAAATCTCGGCTTGTTCTATTTTTCGTGAATAAACGCACCATCATGGAGAAAAACATTCCAGAGACGAAGCGAAATAAAATCAGAGACCTTTAATATGATTTAACCTGTGGTCTTTTATTAGCTGTCCACAAAAGCATGTCATGGAACGACAGAAACTGTAGCACGAGTGTAACATTCCTTTTTGTTGTTATACTCCACCACATCCCTGCTCCTCACACCATGTATAATTTATATTTCATATATATATATATATTTTGTACAATATACATGTTCTCATCAAAGGAAAAGAAAAAAAAATGCAAAAGTTCATCCCTCCCCCTCGGTTGGGTGTGAAATCTAGTGAATACCCCATGCACGTTTTCACTGCATCTAGGAGAAGTGTCGTTTATTAGGAACAAGTATGCAGGCAAATAAAGGGGAGGGTCTCGGTGGACGAAGCTGGTGTACAGAGCACATTCTCAACAACATTAAACAAGAAGAGCCATGCGAACCGACACTTACTCTACAGCTTGGACCCAGTTTGGAATCAGAAGCGCCAGTACAGGGGCTAAAGTTAGTCTTTTGCTAATGGCGTAACATTAAGACAGATTTAAAAAAGGATTGTTTTTTCCTCTCTATTCTAATGTCAAAGCCATATATGTTTCTTTGAAAAAAAAAAATCACAATAAGACTGAAACTTAAGCTCACAGTTGAAATACTAATGCTTTTCGATTGAGAGAGAGAGAGGCTACAGTAACACTGGCACAGAAAGTGCTTGACATCATTGTGAACCTTTTCACCTCTGCGGAGACAAAAACGGCTTGCATCTTTTAAAGTTACGTTTCACATTTAAGAAGCGAGTGTGGTGAGTCGACATCGTGACTGTCAGCTTCCTCAAAGGGTTCACGGTAAAAATGAACACCACGGTGGCAAAACAGTACATGAAGGGGCGTCACAAAAGAGACAGAAATAATATTCATATATATTCAACCTTCTGTTTCAGTCTCAGTCACTCGTATATAATCGTCTTTCAGCTCATTATACTCCATCTCCTGTGGCATATTGCACATCATACCACTGAAAGTAATACAATTTAATGGAAATATTGCTTAATTTTTTAAAACTTTAAAGTTTATATTTATATATCTCTATATATTCTTTTCCCTTTTGTAAAACAAAATAGCGGAATGTAAAATAAAATATATCATGCCGTGTATGTAGGTAAGAAAATAAAGCTGTAGGATAACATCTGTACTTTCTTTTCTGTAGCTATTTACAGAACTTTGTGTCAATGTGTGTGTGCGTATATGCCCAAATCTCTCTCTCTTAAAATGATTTGCAGGAACCAAAACAAATAATATCATTATTTTTGGAACGTGCTACAGTTTTTTAAATGATATCTTCCGATTACAGGAGGAACAACCACCACAGAGTATGAGGACACTTGAACGATGTTTGCATTGTTTAGCCAAAGTGAAGCATCTGGTTTCCTTTTTTTTGGTTTCTCGCTGGATTGGAAAACTTTGCACGTTTGCTGCACTGTTACATTCATGAAATACACTGTGTGGTGTGCGATTTCCTTAGAGGGAGAGAGGTACCGGTTACATCGGATGGGTTCGATTAAAACGTTCTTTTGAGCAGCAGAGCTGACAGTTGTTTACATTTGGTCCTTTAAGGAGTGAGACGCGTTATTTGATGCAATCACAGGGATAAAAAGGTTGAATTATTGCACACTTTGAGCACTGAGTTTAAATTCCCACTTTTTTGGATGCGAATTAAGAAAATTCACTTTTACATAAAAGCCACCAGTCAACCAAGTCCTCCAACCCCCAAACCATCTTCTGACCTTTTGAACATTTTTTGGGTATTGATAAAAATTGGTAGATATGCGTACTTGTTTTCCAGTTAAACTGTCCTCAGATTTGGTTGAACTTCTGTTTTTAATCTAAAAATTTGGCGCTTTCCTGAACCGAAGTTGACATTCATGCGAAATAAAACGGCAGCGGCAACTTTTTTATAAAAAATGTTTTGATTAATCTCTAAGAAGAGAAAAATAATAAACAAATTTAATTTTGGAGTTACTGTTTGTTTAAAACATATCAGAACGGGAAAGTCTATTTTCCTCCTCACCTTAAATTTAAGCTTTTAACCGCTTTCATCTGCACACTGTGCTCATTTTTCTTGGTAGTCATAGTTATCATCTCCCGTTTTTTTTTTTTAAATATATAGGCTTGTTTTTTCTTCACACAGTTTTTAAATCTATCATGATGATTAAATTAAACTAAATTAAAACAATTGTTTAGTATTTCAAAGATGTGTCACTTTCATTTGATTTTTAAACTAATTTCCAGAAAGGAAGGAGAGGAAAATACAAAGCAGTTGGTGTCCATAATTATGAACACACATTGAAAGCTGTGGAAAGATATCCCACGTGCCTACTTGGAGGATGTGTGCATAGCGACTGCAGAAGTCCGAGTATCTTCCACAGGACTGCCCACACAAATTCTTGAGTGGGTGCTCTGATCATGAAATTTATGAGGTTTATGCTGCCATCCTTCTGGATCACTGCTGTAACTCTAAAAGTGCTTGTTTCATTTTCTTTTAGTTTGAGGAACTTCACACATCAGATGCATCAGGTTGTTTTATGGAATCTACTATTTTAGTTTGGATTTACTAAATTTATTTGAAGCTAATTTTACACCTCAGCACTCACAGATTTACCCTCACCAGCCATACACCTTTCTAATATCGGGGTGAACACCTGCTTTCACAGATTCAACAAGGTGCTGTTGTTTACTCCAAATTCTGACCCTTTCGCCTGAATGTTGCAGCAGAAATCGAGACTCATCAGACATTTAACGAGCAGTTGAACTGGATAAAGTGGCTGTGTAAGTCAAATAACATCGTCTACATTTACCCCATTTAGACTTGCAATTAACATATGTCCAAACCACACAACATTTGGAGGTCTTATTTTACCGAGCTGCTTCATGGAGCAGCTCAGTCAAATAAACAGAACCCTGACGTGGGACGTGCCATGTTTTTTGACAAGTCCAACTAATTTCCATACTGATTACAAGCAGAGTGGAGAGACCGAGGATGCATTTTTATACCGGTTGTAAATGTAAAGACCCATAAATCAGATATGCATTGAGAGAACGTGTCCAGATACAGATGGCTGGTATAAATAGGGTAATTGTGCCTCTAATAAACTCAGTGCTCTGTGCAGGATTCAGCCTCTCCTTCGAAGAATTCATGTGGGGGTGAAGCCTTAAACAAAGAGTGACTTTAACATGCATCTCATGGTCTACCCCGATGGCTTAGAATATTATCTGAAAGAGCTCAAGTAATTTGAGGCAAAACCTCTTCAACACCTCACTCAGCCTACTCAGTCTACACAGAAAGCACACCTAAAGCAAAAACAGAGGAGTCATACGAACAGAGTAAACATGCAACTTTGCATAAACAAGACGCACAGCAGGGAGCACATTCAATGAGACTGGTGTCAGCAGCCAAGCGGGTGTGTGTAGGGGAGGTGGGGATACTGTACATCAGCTTACAAAAAAAACAATAACAAAAAAACTAACACTATGACTTTCAGAATGTATTAACATGCTTACTTTAAGCATCTTTAAAGAGAAAGTCCCTGCTAATTGAAACCCCCCCCTCTCCAAATCCCGCTTTTGATCAGTTTTGCAGTGGATACAAAGTTAACAAGCAGCGTTTTCCCCTTACTTCCCCTTGCGAAAGTGGTCCGTGAAGTAATATCTGCATAAAAAGCAACACCAGGGGTCAGCTCAGTTGACAAGATGTCATGCAAAAAAAAAATACCAATAATAGTAACAATAATTTTTTTTTTTTTTTAAAAAGAGTCGTCCGTGGGCGTTATCGCAAGTTAATTTCCCAGTTGGGCATCCATGTTTCAAGCATAAGTCAGCATAGATTTCACTGAGTGGGCCGTCTTTAGTCGAATGAGTGCCGGCCGCAGTGTCGGCCACGGTGGAAGTTCCTGTGATCAGTTTGGCCTCTGCACACAGTAGATATAACACAGTGAATCCAACATAGAAGAGACAGAATGAGATGTAAATAAGAGCCACCTAAAAGTCCGCCTGCTGGCTTTGCTACTAATCACTTTTATTGGTTGTATAGAAGGGTTATATCTAGATTTTGGCATGTGTAATGGCATCCACTTCCATAAAGTATTATTGTTTGTAAACCACAGTCTCATTTCGCAGATGATAACAAAGCTGCATTTATTGAGTTAAAATTCTACTCTACCTTTTTGAGTGAAAAACAGTGTACAGTAGCCTATGTATTTCATGCACGTATCCTATATGAAATACAATAGAAATTTTTTAGAATCATGGTTAGAGCTAAATGATACTGTTGGGTCAAGGCAGTTCTGTTTTTTTTTGTTTTTTCTTGTAGGTTTTTATTACTCTTCAGGGTGTGAAGTGACCGATGGGAGCCACAGGGCAAAAGTTCAAGGTCAGAAAGTCGCAACATGAACCCCCATTGAGCTGCAACAGGCAGAATTAAAGGGAATTCCTGACTTAAAAACATCCGACAGCTCCTCTTCATCAGCGGGGTGGGTGCTTGGTCAGGGGAAAACGGGGAAGTAAAGCGGGACGCTGGATGCTAAAAGTGGCATTACATGGATGCTGTGGTTGGATCGAAGGGCTCCGGTGAGGATGACGTCACACCACGGAGCCCTTGGAGGTGGAGAGGTGGATGGAGTGGATGCGTGCGGCCAGAGTCTTCTCCAGGTCGTGGAGGATGTCGGAGCAGATGCCGGGGCTGGACACGGGGCTCTCGGCGGGGGAAGGTTCGTACAGGAGCTGCTTGAAGCCATCGAGTTCGATCAGCAGCACCATGTTCTTCAGGAAGTAGCCCTCGATGAAAGCCGTCAGCTCCGTGGCACCAAGGAACTACAATGAAAATGAAAGATGAAAGGAATGTGTGACATTAGCAGCTTTCAAATTCTGATTACCGGTATATATAATTTTGCCAATATTCCAGTCATATTCCAGCCCAAAATTGGTAATTGCTTTTTAAGAACAGTCATCATTATTATCCCAGTGTTTGAACCTTACAATAGCAGCTATTAATCTGTCAATCTAGCACTTTCTTTAAATATCTTTAATTAGTTTACTTTGAACAACTAACAGGGTATTTTTATTCCAGTACTCAGGCGGGAAGATGGAAATAAAGGTGGAATTTTCAGCTTGAATTTCCCCACTTGGAAAGTTGTAGAAACCCCACAAACACCAACTTCACAAAACTGTAAAACCGGTACTCTGTACTACCACTTTTAGCTTCTGAGCTAAAAGCAACACAGCTTCTAATTAGGTATTCACTTTAAAATAAAACTATTATCCTGTTTTACAAGTTAATTTGTCAATGCACCTTTTCTGCAATGTAACTTAATAAAAAATATACAGCAAATGTTAACAAACTGAGCAACATTAACACAATATAAGCAAGACAAACCCTGAGACTGGAAAATAAAGCCAGTGTATATAAGGGCCATTTCTTTAATGTCCATGTGAGGTTCCCTTAAAAGTCAGTCAGTTGCCATTGACTCCCATGTTTTAATGCTGTTATAGCAAATTTTACGTTTTACAAACGTATACGTTATTAATGGTTTAATCACACTGCCATCTAGGCTTCATCACAGAGTCCTGGAGATTAGCTGGAGACCGCCTGGCAACCTCTGATTGCTGAGGAAAAAACATGTATTTCCTGTTCGGTTGGTCAGTGATTGCTCACAGATTAAATCTGTTACCTTCTTGTGATTGTGTTGATTACCTGCCGGTTACCTTGGTCCCCTGTTGTTTCCATGGATGATGCCAACGTGTCTGCAAACAGTGGCAAACTACTTCTACTACCACCAAGTGGTAGTAAAGTCTGAAATGCTACGTCTCACTACTGCAATCAATACATTTAAAAATCGCAACTTTTCCTTTGAAGACAAGTGGGTATGCTTTTCTGGTACGCATTGCACTTTCCACAGTTTCACTACTGCTCTGCTAGTAGTTGGCAAGTGTTTGCAGACAAGTCTGTGTCTTCCATGCACCAAAGCATTATTATTATTCCCTATTCTCAGTTGAGCCTAGCATGACTGCAGCTCAACTGAACGTCTTGATCGTGTCTGGTGTGTCAGCCCATGCATAAAGTTTTTGTTCCACTTTGTTCCATTTGTCATTTGAGTCACTGCTAATACAAAAATATGAGAGCAGCTTGAAAAATAGTGTGTGTGGTGGTTGTATTGCCAGTCTGCAATAGTTAATTAATGGCATGTTTGCACCTTATGTAAAAATTCATTACACAAACCCCTCCCAGTATGTAAATCAGCTGCTAGAGACCGTAAGCCTCCCACCTTAGCGTGTTTGTAGAGGTCCACACAGGTTTCGGTGGTGATGTTCTTGGAGCAGATGATCTCACAGTGTCTCTGAAGGGCCTCTAGTTGGAAGAATTTGGCTGCAGACAGGAGCTACAGGGAACAGTACAGCCACACAGAATGAGGCACAGGACTCGGGATTAGAAATGTTAATACTCATGCTGTCACTCCACAGGCTTTGGTTAAGTCTTTCTTACCTCCATTACTTCAGTGTTGCGTATGTGCAGGGACTCGGTGCCTCCACAGTACAAATACTGCATCACCAACTGTAACAGAGAACAGTACAGGCTTCAGGTTATGAAGCTGATGAAGAGTACAAGAGGGACCCTTTTTTCTGTTGCTTTTTTTGTGCCTCTTTTTTGGCTCCATTCTGTCACCTGGAAAATAATCCAGATTTGAATTACATATGTAAATTTAAGCATTTACATATTTTCACTGCTATCAAATACCTTCCCTGCATCCAGTGATATTTACTCTCATGTTTTCTTTTTATCGCCATTTAAAAAGGAACAAGCATTCAATCAGTAAAAATAAAGAGCAGACCAGAGATAAACAAGTCCCCAGCAGGACTGGAGAGAAATTGAAAGAGACAAGGGGAAAGAAATGGGAGGGGGAAGCTCTGGGGCCGCAGTTTAATTGTGTCTTCTGTAGCCTCATGGATACACCCAGTGGAAAGCTAAAAGATAAAGAACATCCAGAAAGCGAGCAGGAACAACATTTCCAACATTTTAGCAGCCACCAAGCCGGTTCAAGCTCACGTTTCTGGGCTCTGGGTTTACAGCTAATGCGAATCATTTAAAATCAGAAATGTGCAATACTGCTGACAGACTTCATTTAACCCTTTTCCAAAAAGATTCATGCCATTCCCACAGATGTGCACAAATTGGGTCAGCCTTAAGCTTCATACGGTAAAGTTGGAGTTATATACTTTCTGTGTTTGAGAATTAAATGGATTTCTTAATCTCGATTGTTTAACTATGTACCTAACACCATTCCTTCAGAATAAAACAATCAAACGTGGAGCCTGTTCTTATACTCATAGGGGACGATGAGTGTTGTGGGTCTGGTTGAGAGTGGGAATAGGTTTTGTATGCACTGAAATCTTTCTTCTCTCACCCCAGAGAAGAACGGCAGACGGCTGCCTTCTCCCTGAGCCTGGATCTGCTGGAGGTTTCATTTCCGTTAAGAGGTAGTTTTTCCTTCCCACATACATTCTACCGTACAATATAAAGCGACTTGAGGCAACTGTTGTTGTGATTTGGTGCTGTAAAAATAAAACGGAATTAAATTGAACTGAAATAAACGTCTTACATGGAAAATATTGTACTTGACATGGCTGATCTCAATGCAGGTGTTTTCTGCTGCTGGTCGGTTTTGCAGCAGCGACTTGAACCTAAAAACAACAACAACAACAAAAAACAGATAAATTCTACATTATTTTTCCCATCGGTGCGCTTTTGTTTTACAAAATAAAATAGGAGCAAAGTTTCAGGTTACCTGGGTGAAGCTGTAAACAGCAAAACTTTATGTGCATAAAATGGTTTCCCCTCCACCAGGAAGGTAACATCAGACATCTCCTTGTTGTTCAGGAAGTGGGGGTCTAAAAAAAACAAAAGAAAAAAAAAAAGAGAGATTTATTCACGTCTCCCACACAATGCATGCAGAGCAGCAAACAGCAGAAGATTAAGCTAATGTGGCCATTAATTACCACAAGGCTGATTCATCACACGCCTATCAGTGCTGAATTATCAGATCGCGTTAGCATTCCTAAACGGCAGGGGATTTGCATTTGATATCCGGTGTTTGCATCCTCGAGTGCATTTCATTCACTGCACACAAATCAAGTGATTTAAAGCACTTTATTTAAACCCCGCCAGTAAATGATCAGCAGGTGGCGCTGCAGCGCCGTCACTGAATGTTTCTCTTCTTCCTCGTTTCTCTCAAAGAAATGTCCAAAATAAAGTTTGAGGTGTTAATGGACGATTTGGTTCATTACAGACAAGTGGAGCCATTTTATCTGCACATAGAGAAAATACTGCACGTCAAAATAAAAATAAAAAAATCAGATTACTTTTAAAATGAAACTCACTTTACAGTTTTGGACAGAAGTTTACATGCACTCCTTATGGGCATGCACATCACGGTAATTCAGGGGTTTTAATTAGTTCTTTGAACTTAATATTTTCTTTTTCCAGGGTGAAATAATTGTACAGCATACATCTTTAATGACTTTAAATAAAAAACAAAAACAAAAATGAAAACACATTTTAATAAGAGTGTACCATCAAGTCAGTCAGACTCGTGGGATATTGATCTGGTCCGGTACCTCGCAGAGGGGGTTGTCGATCACTTTCAGCTGCTTTGGGGTAAATCAAATTAGGAAGAGGAGCCCTAGAGGGGCAAAAACGAGACAACCCCCCGTCTATTTTTTCACTAGTTTTTGGCTAGGGTCAGTGTCACTACTAGAAGCCTGAGGTGATACCTGGACCCTACAGAGGCTACAGAACAACTCCAGGATGGCACATCAATTCGTGCCATGGCCAGAAGGTTTGCTGTGTCTCCCGGCACAGTCTCATGAGCACGGAGGAGATTCTAGGAGACATGCAGTTGCTCGAGGAGAGGTCCTTAAACATCGATAAGACAACTATCTGCTCCTTTGTGCAAGGAGGAACAGGGTGACCTTCAGCACTGGTGTGAATGTCTCTGATGAAACAATCGGAAACAACTCATGAGGGTAGCCTGATATTCCGGTGCTCACTGCCCAGCACCAGTGAGCCCAATTGGCATTTAAAATAGAATACCAGTCCACCACTGGCACTGTAGCTTTTCACAGATGAAAGCAGGTTCACCCTGAGCACATGTGACAAACATGAAAGGGTTTGGAGAAGATGCAGAGAGCATTATGCTGTTTGTAACATCGTTCAGCGTGACCGGTTTGGTGGTGGGTAGTGATGGTCTGGGGAGGCATATCCACTGTGGGACACACAGACCTCTTCAGGCCAGGCAACGGCACCCTGAGTGCCATCAGGTATCAGGATGAAATCCTTGGACTCCCTTTCAGACTCTATGCTGGTGCACGGCAATGCCCGGCCTCGTGTAGCGATAGTATGCAGGCAGTTCCTGGAGAATGAAGGAACTGATACGATTGATTGGCCCCCACATCTGCCTGACCTAACGATAGATTACCTCTGAGACATTATGTTTCATCCATCTCACGTTGGCAAGTTGCACCTCAGACTATCCAGGAGCTCCGTAATGCCGCAGGACACCATCCATTAATGGATTATTTAAGCCTGCCTAATGTTGCTTCACATCCTCATCTTCTCCTTTTTTTCTGACATATTCACTGTCACGTTTTGTTATCACTGATGTTCGATGTACGTTTTATGTGTCTGCTCTCCCAATATTTTGCTGTGAACGCACACAGAAAGGCGGCGACGTCCCAGAACAGAGCCAAGCCGCTAAATATGAATTACTGTGATTCAAAACTATCCTTATTTGACCACAGTAGTTCAATGAGTTTGTGCCAAAAAATGAAATGCAACTTGGATTAAAACTAATTACATTTAGGTCCATAATTTGTTGGGCAGTGACACAATCTTTTGTAATTTTGCCTCTGTACTCCACAACAGTGGGGTTTAAAATCAAACAATCAAGATGCGATTGAAGCGCACACTCAGATGTAATTCAAAGGTTTTAACAAAAAGTGTCTCATTAACTGTTTAGGATTCACTGCCACAGTTATAGTCAGTCTTTGTTTGTGGGTCTCTCTGCATTCAGTGTTTACATCACTAACTGGAAAGTACGATGTAATGGACTGAGATCAGGTGACTGACTTAGCTATTGAAGTCAAACAATATTGTTTGCTCTGAGTCTAAACAGAGCGCGTTGTGTGTGACGTCTTCTTTTGCGCATGCGGGCCGCTTTGAGGGTTCACGCTAGAGCGCATTTGCTGTCACATTTTATTTGTAGTGTGAACAAGTAGACAAAAAAATCGGATTTGATCAAAAACTCGGAATTGAGCATTAAGACCTGCAGTGTGAACGTAGCCTAAGAAACCTTAAAAATATATTGAATACATTTCTACTACTAGATAATGTTCATACAGCTCCTTAGAACACAAATAAAATCATTTTCTACATAGATTTCCCCCAAAGTGGTGTTTTTCCAACAAACAGACAAAAAAAACCCAAATTATTTGTGAAAATATTTTGAAAACATCAAGAAGATCTTGTTTCATTATGAGTTAATCTGATACTTCTTTGTCTATATGTGGCTTCTTCTGAAGCACAGAAGGATGCACTGTAGGATTAAATAGAATCCAATAGGATTAAATCCATTTGTAAACCTTTATTTAATCACCTGCTGCAAATATCAAAGGAACCTACAGATGTGACGAGGAGAAAAAGCGCGCTCTCTGAGCTTGAGGTAACTCCTCGCTCTAACCCCCCCAAAACACAACAAAAAATAGAGAGAATCTTCACCGCAGTCACATCCTCATCACACAGCAAATGTTAAGCATTAATAACTCGCTCTCTTACCTAAGCGCGAGGTCTGCTTCTTCTTGATCTCCGTCAGCTTAGGGATGGGGAAGGGCCCGTAGCACTGCGTAAAAATGACTGACAGCTGCTGACTTATCACCTCATTCTGCAGACACACACAAACACCAGTGAGGACAGAAACTTTACACATATTACAGTTTTGTGGCCTCGTTTTTTTCCATGAGCAATCCGGGACAAGAAATTATGCAAATGTATGATAATATAGTTTGAAGTGCACTAAATTTATGCAAACATGAGTGTTATTAATGTCGACCCAGCACACGGGCACAGGGCGGTTTGTATTCCCAGAAAGCGTGCCTTACGTTGTCTGATGTTCCTCTAATAAGCGTTTTGTTTACGTGGACATGAAAGAAAGCTCCAGTGACCTTGCTGGATCGGAGGATCTGGAACATGAGTGGCAGGCCGTGCGTGATCAGCTCCTCAGTGTACTCCTCCTCCTGGATGCAGCAGAAGTCTTTGAGCAGGCCCTGGATTAGCGGTCGGCGGTGCTGGATGAAGCAGGTACGCAGGGACTCGAGCCAGGTGTGCAGCGTCCAGGGAACACCTGGGAACACCAGCACACGGAGCGTGAATACACACAACATCCGAGAGCGAGCGGTTTCAAGGGCAACAGAACCGACCATGTTTCCATCACGTGATGGCGTTGTGGGAGGTGGAGGACGATGGCATGGTGGGTGTTTGGATTAAGGGTTTCAGTGAGAATAGAAAAGCAGCACCTGAATGTAATTAAAGAATGCTCTGTTAAATGTGTTGGACGTGAATGAAGTTTAACTGACGAGATGAGCGGAAAATTTATCATCCAGGTATTTTCATACTTGTATGTTTTATGGCTTTGAAAATGGCTCATTTTTAAAAAGATTTTTTAAAAACTTAAAATATTGAAAAAAAAAAAGTCCACAGGGAAATGGTGGGACTGAAAAGCCCAGTCTGGAGGTGGCAGGTTTATATTTCTGGTAGAGGTGTGGTCCCTTGCTCAGGGGCAGGGGAGCGGGGGTGCAGTGAGCTCAAGGGCAGTGCCAAGGAGGTTGGTGGGACAGGTGTGCGGCATTAACTAACGAGGTCTCTCGATCGATAGATCGATAGATCGATCGATCAATAGATCGATCGATAGATCGATAGATAGATAGAGTGAAGCCGGAGCCCGGAGGAGGGGTGTGTGCTGTACACCAGCTGAAAAGCTACAGGATGTAGGTGCCAAACCTCACAGAACTGCCAGCAGTGTGTTCTCCTAATAAAAAACTGACAAATAAACACGGACGGTGTGTCAAGTCGTCCTCCTTTTCTACAATATTGTTCAGAAAAAAGTTATATTTTAAAACATATGGCACAACTTCTCAGTTGTTCAGGTCTGTCTGTCTGTGTGTTGTTTCAGGACAGGATTGCTCCTGCTAGCAAAGCTGGAAAAGCAGCATGAGTGGTTGTAATTACTGTCCAGACAAGAACCTTTACAACAGAAAAATAAAGCCAATTGGCAAAAACTACATTTCCTCTAATCCACTGTGTTAAAATGTGCAACCTAAAAGCACAAATTAATGACGTTTACAGCCTGATACAGGCGGGTTTTTTATTTGGATTTTATGCTTTGTGAGGGTAACTTTGTTTTTAAACTAGCTCATTAAGCCATAAAGTTTAGTATAAATTATGTCATTATTCCACTTTGAGGGATCTCTGTGAAGTTTTGTCTTCTTCAACACATGACATGAGTTGACTCTTCAGCTTCTCCGGCTGATTTAACCCCTCAAATACAGTCACATCCATAAGATCCTGGACAATGAAGACATTTAAGTAATTCTGCCTCTGTACACAGAGCATGTCAAAGGAGGATACAGACTTCAGGCAATCATTAACGCCAAGGGATTTTCATCCAGTTATTAAAAGCAATCCTTTTATTTCAGATTAATGCAAGTTACACTCCACTTTTGAGCCTCTGAAAATTGGGGACTGTGTGTAAAAAAAGCTGTCAGTGTGACATCGTAGGGCGTCGTATTGAAAAAATAAATGTGTACGGCATGCCCTTCTATACGATATTACTAGTATGGTTTTCTGAAATTTTTTTCAAGGTTAACTTCGACCTTGGCAATAAAGGTCAAGGTCAAATGCTTAGCCAGCTGGGTACTACATTATTGTTGGGAAGTTTTAAAACGATCCATAAAAAATTGTTTGTTATGTAAAGATTTTACTGATCTTCACATTTAGTGTGACCTTGACCCAATTTTCACCTAAATTAAATCAGCTGATATTGTTATTCACCGTCACACAAAATTTGAACACGATATCTTGAAAACTTGACGCTGGACTGCTAACAAACAGACAAACAGACAAACAGACAGAACCGATCACATAAAAAAACAAGATCACAATGGGAGAGGTTGAAGTTTGCACCTTTGTTTTTCTTTACAGGGGACAAATTTAAAAAAAGGGAGAACAAATTTTTTATTTTTTTTTTTACCACAGACTAAAATTTTAACTATCAACATAGCGCTCACCACGCAACCACGCTTTAATGAAACATAAACGATGTGAGAAAATACTCCGGACGTTTGCATCCAGAGTTTGATTACATCTCTACGCAATGGCCAAAACAGCAGCTCGTGTCCATCTTTTATGTACAGTTTGTAATTTTGATGTCAATTTCTCAGTTTTCCACACTTTAATATTATTTAAAAAGAGTATCCCGGCTAAATAATCCAGCCACAGAAAATGATCTTAATCGTTACTATCATCTGCAAATTTTAAACCAATGTGGATAAGAAAGTTTTAAAAGCTCATCACTCACAGATTAGCTTAAATCCTGGAAACATTGTGCCCACAGTTGTAGAAGCTGTGTACCAACACCCCTAAAGCTCGCTAATTAGCAGCTTATATCTCATGTGTAGTTTAACACTTTGGTTTTTTAACTGGTTTAACAAATGGCATATAAGGTGCTAATTGGTGACTTTTAGATGGTGCTGGTAAGTGGGTATGTTTTTACATTTGGACAGCTTACTACTTTCATCTGAAAATTCTTAAATCTATCCTTAAAAACCAACAATTGCAAAGTATCACCTGATAACCTGACAGTACAGAACAGCTACTAAATTGACTGTGAGGTTGTTTTGCTGACTAAAATCAATGAATCCTCATCAAAACCTAATCAGCAGACCACATAAGGTCTTGTGCTCAATGAGCTGGGGTGCAAGCTGATGATTGCCACATTTACAAAATGAGCACTGCCCGAGGACACAGTTCCGTCATCGTGCTCACACCTTCGACCGAGTTATTATCACCTCGGATATAAAAAGTCCTACTTGTGCGAGCGTTTCATGGTTGGATGAGTAGTTGGGATTTCTGAGGACGCGAGCACAGGACAGGACAGGACAGGACAGCACAAGCACATCTTCATGACAGCTGGAGGCAGCGGAGAGCGATGCATTTGTGCCAGTGAAGCATGCATTAGTAAATCTGACCTAAGCTGCGGATGTCTATGGTGATGTCCACATGGCCGTGCTCTGCGCTATGGTACATGGCCTCTCTCAGGGCCCTCAGTCTGGCCTTTCCTGTTCGCAGGGTCCCTCCACCATTGGCCTGGGGAGCCAACCTCTTCTCCCCTGGATCTGAACCCTCAGCTAGAATCTCCTCCAGGGACAGCACATCCCCCTTTTCTTTGTCTGAATGGGACAGGAGCTTCCGAAAAACATTCCTAGATGAGAGAAGGGAGATGAGACAAAATGACAGGGTCAGGGCGAGAGGTAAACATCTGTCCTGGGGTCGAATAATATGAAGGAAAGCTGTGAAGTCAATGGTTCCAAGTTAGACACCCACAAGCTGCATTAAATCCACATTAAGCCCATTTGGCTCTGTAGCTCTCACTGGTGCTCACTCTTAATTGACTACAAATGTCCCATTGTACTCTGAACCTGCATCGCCAGCGTGTAGGAGTGATAATATATGACTCTTACAGGGATCAGGCTGAAAAGAAAAACTGTTCCAAATCTCCAAATTTATTGTACTCCATCAACATTGCATTGGATCTGAGCAACACAACGGCGCAGCAGTAACAGACGCCCTTCTTTGAGAAGAATGGACTCCAGCATGTAACATAAACAGCGTGATTGCGGCCTGATAATGCATCACTGCACCATCTGCTTCAGCGAGGAGGGTCTCGTTTGGAGTCCAAGTGCAGCAAATCATCATGTCCTGTTAGGGGAGGCTGTTTGATCATAAAATGTTGTTTTATTGGTACTAACATGCTGCTGGTTTTGTCAGGTTTGAGCAGAATTACAATGCATGCATGCATAAACCCAAACACTGCATATTCTCAGCTGCAGTAACCACCTCGATCCTTCTGGTTTCAGGCTTTTCACACAGTCTTAAACCTGCAGAGATTTGCTTCCACTCAGCAACAAGAGCATTACTGATGCAGATAAGATGTGGCTCACTGCCACCCAGAGGTGTTGGGTGGGACTGAGGTCAGGGCTCTGTGCAGACAAGTTCTTTAACAGAAACCTCTTCCTGGACAGAACTGTGCACAGGAGCTTTGTATGCAACAATTGTTTAAAAAAAAAAAGAAAAAAAATGAATGGGTGCTTGCTTATGGGTCATATTTAAACTTTTAACTTAAGGCTTTTTTTTTAATATGTATCTGTCCCAAATTATACATCCTGGCCCACTTTTTCACACCACAATTTTGTGGGTTCAAACATGGCCTCAGATTTAAAGTGCCCCAGCAAAAAAAACCCAAAACAAAAACATGCAAGTGAGTTGACGAAACGTTTTTCATGTGAAGCTAAAATTTCACACCAATCTTTATATGTGTCCGCACTTTTTAGTGAAGCTGAAAGTACACAGTGATTTGGGATGGAATGACCCAATGTTATGATGACCAGAGACAGAAATATCTTTGAAATTTGTCAACTTTTAACATGAGAAATACTAGTTGCAAAAGCAAAGTAGACCGGCACGAATACCAGTACCGCTGGTCTTCTTAGATCTTCACTAAGTTCTTTGGACTTTCCTGTTGTTCTGAGAGTTGGTCAATCCAGCAAGTGCTGTCAAACAAATCCTTTAAGCTGGAAAACAAGCTTAATGTTAGCTTACTTTATCCAATGAAAAACCAGTTCTAATGTATGTTGGGGGTTGTTGTCCTGCTGGAACACCCAGACCTGTCCAAGTTTCAAACGTCTAGCTGTTGATTTTAGGTGACAGTGAAGAATTTGGTAATTCCATCCACTTTGTGTAATGGAGCAGTACCACTGGCAGCAAACTAACACCAGAGCATGATGCTACCACCAGTGTGCTTTAAAGCTGGTATTTTTCGGTTTGAAAGACTCACCTTTACTCTTCCAAACATTGCTCCTGTCATTGTGGCCAAAAGGCTCAATCTTTGTCTCGTCTGACCATAAAACCTTGCTCCAGAAGACATATGGCTTGTCCAGGTGGGCAGCAGAAAGTTTCAGTTGAGCTTGAAGGTGTCCATTCTGAAGCAGGGGTTTATTTCTTGGTCACCTGCCTCTCAGTCCATGGAGATGTGAAACTCACTTCACTGTGGACAGTGATGCTGATGTTCCAGCAGGTTTCCAGTTGATGGCAGGCTTGAACCTTGATGGTTCCTGAACATCCTAATCAGTTACCTATCAGAGGTGACAATTTGGGTCTCCTTCCAGAATTGGTGGTGACACATCCATATAACAATTGCTTGGACTGATGATCTTGGAATCTGCAGCTATTTACAAATGACTCCAAGAGACCTTCACAACTTAAATCTACAATCCTCCTTCTTAGATCTTCAGTGAGTTCCTTGGACAATGAGCGCCGTCAAACAAATTTGTTTCATGTTGGCAAAGAGAAACTACCAGAAGTCAATCATAATCACTAACAAGAACTTAATAGAGCTTGGCTTTGTCAAGTTAGAAAAACAACAACTGCAGAACCTTCATTTCCACTTATTAAAATATTTAGGTGACTGTATGTATACAGTTTAATCCGTATGCATATTTTTATACTCTGTGTGGATCAAAGAAAATCCACAGTAAATGCACCCAACTCATGAACTTTTGAAGTCATTAAAGATGTTTACTTTACAATCATTCAACCCTGGGAAAAGAAAAGTTCAAAGAAGTAATTAAATCCCCAAAATACCATGAAATTCATGCCCATGAGGAGGGGATACAAACTTCTGCCCACAACTGTATTGTCTCTGAAATCCTACCTTCACCGTTTCCACCCTCACTAGAAACAAATATCTTGGATATTTTGATGAGTAGATAGCTGACAAGTTTAATGAATGCAAAGGCACAAAGAGGCTTAGTAAAAGCCCAGAATCCAAATAATTAGCCAGAAGATAGGCAGAAATAAAAAAATACAGCAGTGAAGCACACGAACCACATGGGGAACAGGCAAAAGGCAAAAGTCCATTAAACATATAGATGAAAGACAGCAAGGAGTCCAAGGCAATAAAAATACACAGGGAGGGAAAACTAGAAACAAGAAACCAGACTTGAAAGTGCCGAACCACTTGGCAGTGAGAACAAGACCATCTGGCGAAGAACAAAGGGAAGCTGGAGTCTAAACACGTACACTGGAGTGGGTGGTTAACGGACACAGGAGGGCAATTGGTGGATAGGGAACAGGTGTGGAAGACAAGGCAGGTGAAATTAAACTGGGTGAGGCGGACAGGTAACAAGGATGGAAAAAGAAAAATCCCCAAAAAGAGGAAGTAAAACTGACTGGAAAACACAAGAGCTAGTGATTAAGGAAGGAAGTGCCTTAACTCAAAACATAACCATCCAGTCGATACGACATTCAGGAAACATTATTATTATCAAACCATTTTTTTTTTATTAGATTCAGTTTATTTCTAAAAATAAATACATTTTTAAAAGTACAAAACCAAGATACGTCAATGCTCCAGATGGTTTAAAAAATGTTTTAAATCTGAAAGATACTCAAGACCTACACCCTTATGTAAAAAAAACCAAGCTACAAACTAAACTTTATACAGGCCCGCCTCAATTTTCACACCTATGGATATGTGCACATAACAATAAAAACGAACACTAGTAATGTCCAGATGACCAGAGTGAGAACCGAACAAAATGACTCATTTAGCGAATAAGTTCTTCCTCATATTCCTCATATACACAGTTTTTTTTATACTGTAATCAAAGTCAGAAAAAGGAATGTTTTGCTTTCCTTTCCAAAGATATGAACATTATCTTTATAGCTACACGGCCAGGATCCAGTTTATGTTTTTTAAAGTGCGTCAAGTTTACAAGTTTACATCCAAGATGCTTTTTAATATAATCCACCAAACCACTTACGGACGCTGTCTTGGACATACTTGTAGCGTACACTCCCATCTTCCTGTGCTCTTCTGCATGACTGCTTATGCTTTACATACATTCTCAAAGCCTTGTTTAATAACTCTGGCAACTGATAGACAAAATACCACAGGTAGAAATACTTGTGTGCTGGGGTCTTGGAACCTTCACTGTTAGCAACTAGCTACATTAATCCTTTTATTGTTTGCTTCTTGATGCTCGTATATGAACTTTATCTGATGTTAAATAAGAACGTCTAGTGTCTCACAGCCCTAATGCAGCTTTAACCTGCTCACATCACACTGCAGCATGACCATCACACTATAATTGATTGTCCTAATAATGCTGCATTGTGTTGTTGGCTTTCCACTCCACTCCATTTCCTGACAGCCCTCGCTGCTCTGAATGTTAATGGGCTCTGTCTTACTCAGCTGCAGGGAAATTATGTCAGACCGAAGCCACGAGAGCGGCCGAATAGACTGCGGCGCTTATCGCTGCCTGCTGTCCGACAGGGAAACTGAGATATCTGCCTCTCGTGTGCTGCAGGATTTTGTGAGAGGCAGATGGACCGGGGCAGAGTGTGTAAATGGATCAATACTGTGGTAATGGATACGTCTTGGCTGGCTGGAACTTGAGAATGCATGTGTGTGTGTGTCTGTGCGATTGTCTGTGTCACCTGTGGCCATGTGCTGCTGCCAGGCTGAATGAGTTCATGTCTCCCAGCGGGGTGGAGGAGATGCCGTTTCGACACATGGTTCCAATCATGGGGTCAGCCCCTCTTTCCAAAAGCAAACTCACCAGCTCGAAGTTACCTAACGAGGATGACAGAGGGAAGAGATTAAAAAAGGGAGGACACACACACCCGCATTTGAAAGGTATAGCTTCAGTCCTGTGCATATATTAGAGGGCAAGAGTTACTATTTACTCCGAGGACACGAGCAGCAAATAATAAATGTAGGTAACGTTTGCTAATCAAAGCAGAAATTCAGCCACTATCCTCTTCAAAGTTTTACTTTACTCTATAGATTACTCCCCGAAGTCTCCGTCTGTCCCACTGCACTTGTCTATCTGTGATGTGACCACCTTAAATCCCTTAAACTATGTATTTGCTCATAGGCATGGTCAGTTTTACGGGTTACTAACAAAAGTTGTGCACAGTCACTGTGCTCTCTTTATAAATAGAAACAGTATTTTTTTCTCTTTACTCACTGGTGCAATGCCTTAGTAAATTTGGCCCAATATGGAAAAAAGTACTGGGAATTGCTGCGATTCCTATCTATGTTTCGGAAATATATATATTATCAATATTGTGTTGTGTCTAAATCCAGTTTTGTTAAAAAGTTGTCTATGTATCAGAATTTTCAAATTAGTATTTATTTTAGTTTCTTTTCATTGCTTGAAATTTGCACATTTTAGTCTTTTTAATTATTGTTTATAAAAGGCACAGGTCAGAAGTAAGATTTAGAAACAATCACTGCTGTTGACTCACAGTGTTGTAGATATCCAAAGTCTCAAGAAAAACAAGTTGTAATGACATTTTTTATCAAACAATACAGATATTGTCTCTATTTTTTTTAAATATATATGCACATAGTATTTAGTTTCAGTTAACTACAATAAACTTGTTATGTTTATATCTACATCTGATATAGTAGATGTATGTAAATACTCATTTTTTAAGGTATAAATTATTATTTATTTGTGCAAATTTTATAGTCCAAGCTGGGTTTTTGTCTCGGAGAGTTTTCTACTTAGCAGACCAGAACTTGACATTATCAGACTGGACACAGCATCAAACAAAACACCATAACCATGATGATCCAATTGGGGATCAAGACATCAAAACACGAGCCTGGACTTGCATAAAGTTATTCTGGGTCTTAGAAAGCCTCTCGCTCATTGCTCTTCATTAACAATATTAGCTTTGGAGCTGATCTTGATTTCATCCACATTTACTATTTAATGAAAAGGATGTGAAAAACATTTACTATCTGTGGTTGTATGTTTTAATCCCTTGTTACCATGGCAGTGTGACTTCCTACACCTCACCAAGCCACCCTTGGTAACACTTGTGAACAGATTTCAACTTGTTAGCAGGTCTGAATGTAGAGTAATGCAAATAAACTGGACAAATTCTATATGTGAGGTTTGCCACTTTAGAAGCTGAAAAGATGACCGTGTTTCCAAACTTGGACTGGTGCTGCAAAGGATTTAAACTGGCATCTTTAAAGCTTACTAATTAAAATAGTGTATCTTGCTTAATTGGTGCAGAAAACGAGCAGAAATCCCCAGAGCTGAAAATAAAGTCAGTGTCACAGCCTCTTTAGGCTTGCACCAAAAAACATAAAAATAAGCAGCCAGGTACAACTCCTGCCCCCAGAAAACAAACAAACAAAACACACAGTCAAAAAATGTTGATTTACAAAACACTGAAAACGTAAAATACTAACAATGCCAAACTGAAGGTGTGCAGATTCATCTTGTTCACCAAGTAGGTGTACTAAAAGCCATTTGTCATTTTCTATGATAAAAAAAATAACACATAAAATTACATATACCAACATCTAGATTAGCCTTGCTAGCAAGTGTTACAGTGGGTTTATATTTTAAAATGAAGCCAATAAAAAAAGTGGAACTGCATTTCCTCCAGCAGCCTCCAGAACTGACTATTTTTGACTAAACTGTCCAACTTTTATAAAGCAGACTTGATCTTACAAGATCCAGTGACTTGTTCATAAAGTTAGCTAATAGTTTGATAAACTTCAAATTACCTCGTTAAACCTCATAGTGATCAGTGTTAAAGGTCTTTACCAGGTTTGAAAATCATCAGTACCAAAAAACTGAGCCCTTTAATGACCTTTAATGATGAGCTCTTTATTGTAATAGTTCAGTAATACTGAAATATACTAAAATAAGTCTTCTCAAGTAAGTTACTTTTGTTTTTTTCATGTCTTTTCCTAGCTAAAAATGGCAATTTAGTATAACAGTAAAGGTACACCTTGCTAACAAAGTAAGCTACCACTTGCTAGCAAGGAGCTAGTCTCCCATCCAGACTTCTGTCCAGGAATGGTCACAATCACATAAAAAAAGAAAAGAAACAAAAAAAGAAACAAAAAATCTGAATTAGAAATTTTTTTTAAAAGCCCATAAACAAATGGCTGATGTCGCAGTAGCTATGTCCATCTTTTATTTACAGTTTGTGGATTTTTATATGGCCAGAGGGGCCGATGGCGCGATATGGCAGCCCCGCTTCTGTCAGTCTTCCCCAGGTTAGCTGTGGCTACAACTGTAGCTTGCCTCCACCAGTGTGTGAATGTGAGAGTGAATGAATAGTGGAATTGTAAAGCGCTTTGAGGGTCTTGAAAAGTGCTATATTAATGCAATCCATTATTATTATTCATATATTGGATTATATCTGGAAAAGGTACAATTATTTCTTTGAGCCAGCCAACCTCAGTTTATATAAATAAATCCTCAGATCTTAGAAAAATAAAACATGAGTTTGAAGCTCGTTTTTACTGAGTAAAATACCTGCTGTACATTCTGCCATACAGCAGCACAGTGATGAGAACTAAAATTTAAAATTCCCTACACTCTGGAATCCCAGATAGTAATTGAAAGTGATGCATTAATTACAACTGTGTGAGAACGCCTTCTGGTGCGCTTGGAGTCAAACATGTCGTGACTAATCCCATATACGGGGCATCGGTCGGGAATAAGAATACTTGGGTTAAGTGTGCACATCCATCGGAAGCCCAAATTAAAGATGAGCCTTTGCTGCTTGTGTGCGATTACCTGCAGCGGCGGCCAGCTGAAGTGGGGTCTCTGTGTAGTTCTCCGCCCCATCCTGCAGGGCGCCCTCCACATTCGCTCTATTATCCAGCAACAACTGTGGCAGAGATGGGAGGCAGAGGAGGTGGAGGGAAGAGGGGAGGGAGGAAGAGGAAAACAAACCAAAAAAAGGGGGGAGAGCAGGGAGAAAGAAAATACAGGTAGAGGGAGAAGAGGGGATGTTACAGTCAGGCTTGGCAAGAGGAAAAAACCTCAACTGGTGGAAACCTAAACCAGCTCAGAAAGTCACTGACATTCTAGCTATGCTTGATCATTATGCTGTGTGGGGGTCTTATTCGTCTGTGTTGAGCTGAAGACGAAGAATTTATATCTCCAAAACTCTGATTTGCCCTGATGCAGATTAATAACTGAAAAAATCCTGGAGGCGCTGGTGTTCATCAGGCTTTCAGCCCGTGTCAGCTCACACAGTAATGACTGCAACAAAATGTGTTTTATATATTAAAACTGAACAAAACACTCAAATTTTGGCATCCCTGGGGGCTGTGCATCAGTGCTGCGCTTCAAGCTTCTTACTACTTCTTACTTCAGGATCAGTCTTCAGATTAGGGTGGAAACAGGGGCCTGGGTCAGACCTACACTTAATTTTAGGAGCATACATAATCCTGAGCCAAGCCCTCTCCACATAACTGAGATACACACTGCACAGAAAGGACCAAGAAGGAGAAAGAAAGGTCATTTGGCATCATCATTATTATGATGCACCATCATAATAATCACCATCATCATTATTATCCTCATTTTGGTACAAAGGATAGGGCAAGGGCCACAGGTTAATGGTTACAGGTCATAAACATCACTACCTGCACGACAGGGACGTGTCCGTGTAACACGGCGAAAGTGAGTGGCGTCCCCTGGCGCGTTTCAGGATAAACTGAGGGGTGCTTGTTTACTGTGCTTGGCACCTGGGAAGTCATAGGTGAAGTTCAGGGAGAGAGATATATATATATTTATATATACAGCCATTAACATTCACAGCTCAGGGCGGGGGATGGGGGGAAAGAGGAGGAGTGAGAAGCAGTATGCAGAAGGGAGAAGTGTAAGCAAAGGAGGGCAGGATGGCACAGGGAGATTTTCCTCTTGAGTTTCATAGAAAATCTTTAGCAGCTTGAATCCTGCCTCTCATCTCAATCGTCACTCTAAACGTCAAAGAGCATCTGTCTGGACGAGGCTCTCTCACCACACTTTGTTGTATCTACAGCTCCACCCCTTATTAGCATTTCATTTCAAAGGGGAATGAAACTAAGAGAGAAAAAGCGCAACACTGACAGCAAACACCGACGACAAACACCGACAACTAACGCCGAGGAGAGGGGCGGTGCTGACTCACGAGCGAAGCAGCGAGTGAATAAAATCAAACAGCCGTACCAGCCTTATGCTGTTCTGTGGTTTCTAAAGCTGCTTTATCACTGAGTAAATTAAGGAAATTATTTCTAAATGTCGCCTGGAGGACAAACAGATGTTAAATAATACGCCACGTTTCATTTGAGGTTTGATGCTAAACAACAGCGGGACTGTTAGAGCTTATGTTTTTACAGGAATGAATTATTTATGACGTTATAATAAAAGGCAGTTCCAGCAGAAACAGAGCCAGTCACAGGCTGTCACTGCAGAGAAGAAGTTAACTCATTTTTACTTTACTTAGAAAGCTTAGGTCTACTTTTCTGTGCATGTATTTATCCACACAGACAGATTTGGTATTGATTACGGTTACAGTTTAAAAGCAGCAGAGGTGAATTTAACTGTGTAGCTTTGAAGCGCTCAAAGCAAAATGTCAACGTCTACCTCGGGATTATCGGGGTTATCCAGGTCACTGTTTTTTCAACTTTTTACCTCCACAGGGAGGTTATGTGATTGGCTCAGTCTGTCTGTTTGTTAGGAGGATTACTCACAGAGTTACAGATGGATTCGCATGTAAATTTTTACCACAGGTGAGATTTTGGTGGGATGTTTTTGGAGTCACTGCTGTGAGCTTTTCTTCAGTCTCTCTGGTGTGAGTACACTTTTCTCTGTTTGTAACTGGTGTGATGGTGCCAACACCACAACTACAGTGATAAAACCTGGGTTGATGCAGCAGTTGATAACCACCTTCTTGGGGGCACTTATCCAGATTTCTGATGAACCTGCTTCATAGTACAGGGCCTCATTGTCTCCATACTGTAAGACATGCATGTTGATTTGTGAACCTTTGTATTTTTTCTATCCAATGGTCATCATTTGATTTAACGTGTACCGCTGGCTGATGAAGAGCCGCGCTGCTCGTAAACTCATGTCTGAGGCTCTAAATCAGAACCTAAACACTAGTTTTCAATGGAAATTCAATTCGCCCCTTATGCCAGTTTTATCAGTGGTTTTTGTATTTTAAGCTTTTAGCTCCTGAAAAAGAAAACAAACTAAACCATTATTTTTGCAACCCATAAGCCAAAATTTGGGGTTATTATGTCGAAATGAGACTTGTTGAATGAAAGTTCTGGGAAAAATAGCTCAAAATTTTGGCAAAACATAAAATCTGGACATATGGATGATAGGAGAAATGTTACTTTTGAGTCTGTTTTAGATTCTTTTGGGTTGCAGGTACAAGTGATCTGTATTACAAGACAAAAAGGACAAAATATCTGAAAAACTGAACTTTTTTGACAGAAAATTGCCCTTTCTTATACCTGTGAAAATTTCACAGCTGTATCCACACCAAAATTCCTCCCGAGCCGCATTCTGGGGGCAGTTGCTCTAGTTAAAGCAGGATATGGTTTTTGGAGAGCAAACAGCATTCAGCTCACCTCTGTTTATTGGTGTTATAGCTGAAATGTCAGACAGATAAAATATCTCAAAGCCTCTGCATAAAACTTTACAGCGAGGCTCCAGTAGGAGCAAATGAGGTGTTTTCACTTTGTTTGAATTTATGTTAGCTTCATCTTTCTTATTCTATAAACCACCGGTTGATTTTACAGGTACTGCTTTGCTTCTGAGTCAATACTGCACTTAACACAAGCATCAAAGCAATGGAGCAATCACAGTGATCAATAATGAGGTCACTACGGTGAAGGAGAGCCCATAAATGGTGTTACTTTTGCATTTTCTAACTGAAAATTAAAGCGATTACACACATACAAGCACACACTACAGAGAGAAAAACAGGAATTCTAACAGTGCACTGTTAAGTACAACAGATAGGTGCAATGATTTTCAAGCTTCATGCAGAGTCTGTGGTAGCAAGTTACACTAAGTGCACACAATTATAAAAGAAATGTATTATTGATGTGGTATAAGCAAATTGCTGCTGGATTTACAGTGTAAAACGTAATGAAATCACTGCCTGCAAAGTGGATCATTTTCCTGTATCGGTGTTAAAACAGTGATACTCGCTTATTGCTTATTGGTGCACTTCGTGTAATGAGCTGCCGGGGGAACAGAGAGCATGCTGAGAGCAGGTGAGACAATGACGATAGGGGGAGGGGGAAGGAAGAGCAACACAAAGTGGGTTCATAGTTTCACTGTTTACAGAAACAAATGTGAACAAACATGTTAGACCAGAACAAAAAAAAAAGTGCAATCATTGTGACACTGCTGCATTTGACTAGCGGACAGTTGACACTGACCTCGCTGTTGATGTCCGCTCCGGCGTCAAGAAGCATCTGGACCATGGCCTCATCACCACGAACGCAGGCATACATGAGAGGGGTCATTCCCTGCAGGATGAGACGGGGAAGAAAGGGGGGAGGATGACATATTTCTACATAGTACCAAAATGGGAAGCTGGTAGCAGAGATTCCACCCAGCAAAAAGGTGTTGGAAAGAGATGGGAGAGATGATTTTTCCAGATGTCTAAACAAGCTGGAGATTTGTTTAAAGAGTGAAAGGTGAAAAGGAATCGTTGGTGGTCGCTGAAAAGACGTCCTGCTATGTCTAAATTTAGTTGAAAAGTGGGCATTCTTTCCTCTCAACACATCTGTAGATTCAGACAGTAATTTCCTTCTATGAGGAACCAATGCTGACTGGTGCACCACCCTCCTACATTAACCTCCTAGGACATGGCGTCCACATATGTTGACATCACTTTTTGGGTTATTTAGACCAAAATACAAAATTTTGCTCTACAAGGGCCTGATGTCCACTTACGAGGACATTATACTGCCTCTGTTTCATCAAAATTTAAAACGAATATCCTCATACGTGGCTCTCATTTTTCTTAGGAACAAAAATCGGGTAAAAAAAAAAAATCTGGTGATTCTTTGTTTTTACATTCATCGGGTCCCAATGCACGGTGGCACGGTGGTTAGCACTGTTGCCGCACAGCAAGAAGGTCCTGAGTTCAATTCCACCATCAGGCCGGGGTCTTTCTGTGTGGAGTTTGCATGTTCTCCCCGTGTTTGCGTGGGTTCCCTTCGGGTACTCCGGCTTCCTCCCACCGCCCAAAGACATGCAGCTTGTAGGTTAATTGGATAATCCAAATTGCCACTAGGTGTGAATGTGTGAATGAATGTGAGTGCGAATGGTTGTCTGTCCCGACAGACTGGCAACCTGTCCAGGGTGTACCCTGCCTCTCGCCCTATGACAGCTGGGATAGGCTCCAGCGCCCCCCTGCGACCCTGAAAAGGATAAGTGGAAGTGAATGGATGGATGGACGGACGGGTCCCAATGTGCCCAAATATCAAAGATAAATTAAAAATGCTTGCCATGGAAGAGTTTGGGTCTTAGGAGGTTAAGGAACAATAAGCTTTGGCTCTCTGGATGTCCCCCCCAAATAGGCTGACCATTTAATAATTACTGTGACACATGACCCTATGAGTTATGGTGTTGAAGGTTCAATAATGCATTTTAACCAGACAAGGCCAAGGCCTATTAAGGCCTCTTTGCTACCATAAACAGGATTTATTTGACAGCACTCACTGAACTGACCCATACTCACAACAAGTGACCAAGACCAAGAAACTCAATGAAGGTCTAAGAAGGCCAGTGTAACAGTGGTACCAGTACATTAAACAAAGTGGATGGAAAAATCTAAGAAAGAGAACTATATTTACACAAGTTGGAGAGGTCTCTTGGGGGCATTTCGAAACAACTGCAGATTCCTGAATCATCAGAAACTAAAGTTATTCTGATGTGTCACAACTTTACCAAGGTCTGGGAAAAAAAAACCTCTAAAAAGTCACCATCTGTTAGATAATTGGTTTAGATGTTCAGGAACAATCTGGGAAACACCAAGGTTCAAGCCTAGCATGTACTGGAAACTGCTGGAACACCAGCATCACTGTTCACAGTGAACCTCAGGTCAGCTGTTCTACAAAGTGGATGGAATAATGAAGAAGGAAGACTACTTCCAAATTCTTCAACTTCACTTTAACTCAACAACTAGATAGCTGAAACGTTGATACTTTGTCACTAAAATGCTAATTAAATGTTGCATTAAGAAAACCCAAAGGCACAGAATTAGAAGTTTGACAATGAGCTGACAGGTGGTTGAAAACAGATTAAGTTAAAGTCTTAGAAGTGAAGGCATCTGCCTTCTTGAAGCCTACGACTGGGTTGACCCACTTTACTCACTGTTAGAAAAAAAAAAAAAACTTCAACCCTTTTTTGGCTACATAGTACCTCAAATACTATTGTAACAATAGTTAAATGGGATTTAATAATAAACACCATCTCTAATGATCAAAGTAACTGTAATGAGCTAAAGGATGCTAACAGCGATTACTTTCTCTCAACAAGAATGAGGATTTCAATGCCATAGCGATATATGAATCTGACTACGTGTCAGCGGTGTTTGTGAAGAAACTTGCTAGCCTCCTTTTTTTTGGTAAGCAAACTTGTTAAAAACATACAAAGCCAAATTAAATAAAAGTACAAAAAAACCCCACAATAACAAAGGATCTGAATGGCAACAAAGACTAAGCAGAGATTTGACTGGACCATTTATTATTGGGTCAGTTTGCTTTAATACTTTACATGCACTGAATAATCAGGCTGGATCTTTGAAATGAGCTCTGCATCATTTCACTTTTTTATTATCTAAAGGCCAACTTCTCACACAAATGTGATATTCATCTTACATTAGATTTTGCTTCAAGGGAAATTTCTAAGGATGTGTTCAAGGATTACAATCAAATCACTCGATTGGAGTCCTTTTTCTGATTTGCTGCTCATCATCCAGTAAGTGTACTCCTGCTGGAGGTTAGGACCTCTACCAAACAGAGAAGGAATTGCATTGAAAACACACTTTTGTTATTCCTCATGCAAAAATGTTGATTTCACTGCTATTAACAAAATGCCTTGAGAAATAATTCCAGGTTATTTCAATCTGGTGTTATTCCTGTAAATGTAGATATTGCAGCTGTGTGGGTTGTGCATATTTTAATAGGAGGCGAGAGGTTTGATGTTCAACAAGAGACCACTTCAGACGACTAACTGCTGTACTTGGTTTCAGTCAAACTCAAAAACAAACATTTAAACGTATTCATGTACACCACCTTATACGTACTGCTCTATACTTTGTAAGGATTCACATGGTGTCTGGTACCAAGACCTTAGTAGGGGATCTTTTCGTTTGCTGGTGTGCACAACTTGGAGATTCTAGCTTCGATTGGGATTCAGTGATGTTTGAAAGGCAGATCAAATTTTGGCTCTTTGTCCTGTTTTTCAATCAATTTCCGAGGTAGAGCACAGAGCAAAATCCTGTGGTGGCCACTGAGTGCAATTGCTACTGTTTCATGTGCAGCAATGTTTATGTGGCACATGAATGCCACAAGCAGCATGACTCTTTGGGAGTCAACAAATGTGCAAAATTAGAGAAAAAGTTCTGGTGCCTCATTGTCAAGACTGCTCTGAGATTATAACAGAAAGTTTTTGTTAACTTTTCTTATCTTTTTATTTAACTATTGACCCACCATAAAATTCTAAATAACCAGGATTTTTTCTGCTATTTAAATGTTTATCTATTACTTTGTAACCTTGGTTTCTAGTATGAACAGTCTTGGGGAAATTCTTTGTAAGTAGGAAAAGCTGTAAAGCTTAGTTAAAAGTCCAAAATCTATACCTTCCTTTACATTCTCCAAAGCCATCCAGTGTCACACTGGAGTCTTTGGTGAGCTAATTCTGGTCCCAGGGCCATATGTTTGACACCCTTGCTCTAGCGCAGTGATTCCAAACCTTTTGGAGCCACTATTTCACATTAGAAAAATTACAGGGCACACCACCAAGCAAAAACGTCACAAAAAGCATATTGATTATTTTTCCCCGCACACCAGGCATAGCAAAATTGGCTCGGTTTGTCCCCAGTATACCTTTTTTGCTTCCTTCTGACCACTACTCATGCTAGGGCCTTCATCTGGGTGGGAATTTTCTCTTGGACCCAGGTCTGACTGACTACTTTTTCTTTTCAAATATTTATTCATTCCTATGACTAATATGTAATTTCTTCTTCATCTTCTTGTGTTTTACCAGCAGTTGGTAACCCAGTTAGTTAGAGCAAGGAGTTGTAATGCCCTCTAGTGGAAGAGAATGTATTTGTTATGTCCGTTACTCAAGCAGGTCACTTAGAGCACTAATCAGCTTACAGCCATACGACCCTGAGCACACCCAATCTCGACTGATCTCAGAAACTAAGCAGGGTTGGGCTTGGTTAGTACTTGGATGGAAGAGTATTAATCAGGTGGAACCAGGTAGTCTTCCACAGCACACCTGATCATTTCTCACAGCACACCTATGTGCTGCAGCACAGTGGTTGGTTTTTATCTGCTGGTCTGCTGGTTTCTTTCTGTGCTCAGTCCAAGATCATCATTGCTGGGTTACCTGGAAACGGTTTCCAGGTAAAGCTCTTAAAGTGCACAGAATAACTAAAGTATGAATCTGTGTGTGAATCAGTGAAAGTGACTCTCGGTGTTAAGAGCCTTGAATGGTCAGACCAGAAAGGCACAATAAAAATGACTCTTCCTATAATAACATAATGACGACTATTTACATCCACACCGTTTTGTTACACAGTCAGGCTAAAAGCACCAGCCAGTCATCTTTGAGTTACATCAATGCAGGAGCAAAGGGATTCCCAGATGACACGGAAGCAGTTTGCTGCAGCAGTTGCAAAAACATTCTGCAGAAAACTGTGGAAAAACTTCCGCAATCACTTCACTTCCGGTTTTTACTTTGTCTATACCTGTTCCTGAAGGCTTTTACGTAGCTTACCTAGCTAAATCCTACAATCACTGACGATCGTGTTGACCGTAACCACAACATTAGCTCGTTTTTTAGAAGTCTTCACATAATTTTCTTTAAATCACCATTTTATGTACATGCTATAACTTCACCACTGCTGCCTACCAATCGATCCCGTTCTGTAAAATGCAGTGAGATATAATAAGTATACACACACAGCACACAACTCAGAGAAATATCCGGCAGTTTCTCGCAGCTTCTTATTTACTGGACCTTTTCATTACTCCCTTAAAATAACCGTGTCTTCCCAACAAGGGCAAAAGCACAAAGGTGGGCTGTGAAACTCCTAACATAACTTCTTCTATCTCTGCGTGTCTCCATATGCACAGAGTATTCTGACACGCCCACACACATTATGCTGCAGGATGAAGCTGCTTCATCTAAGTGCTACTGCAAAGAATTGCATAAGATCAGCAACAGCAACAACTTAAAAATGACCTTTATTGTAAACGAGGCACCGAGATCTTCACATTTATCAGAC